CATGTTGTGATACACTTGACCGATGTTGTTGTAGAACATAGCCAAATGGGGATGATTCGAAGGCAGAGCTTTTTCGAGGATTTTGTGTGATTTTTCGTAAAATTCAAGTGCTTTTGAGTAGTCAGCCATGTTGTTATACACTTGACCGATGTTGCCGTAGTAACTAGCCAAATTGGAATGATTCGGAGGCAGAGCTTTTTCTCCTATTTGATGTGATTTTTCGTAAAATTCAAGTGCTTTGGAGTAGTCACCCATGTTGTGATACACTTGACCGATGTTGTTGTAGGAAGTAGCCAATGAGGGATGATTCGGAGGCAGAGCTTTTTCGTAGATTTGATGTGATTTTTCGTAAAATTCAAGTGCTTTGGAGTAGTCACCCATGTTGTCATACACTTGACCGATGTTGTTGTAGGAAATAGCCAAATCGGGATGATTCGGAGGCAGAGCTTTTTCTCTTATTTGTATTGCTTTGTTGTTATATTCAAGCGCTTTGAAGTAGTCTGCTAAGTGGTAATACGCCTGAGCAATATTATTGTATGAAACAGCTAAATTAAGATCATCTGGAGAGAGTATTTTTTCGTTTATGTGAATTGTTATTTTGCAGTACTGTAGTGCACCGGAGTAGTCTCCTATGTGTTGATAGTTGTGTGCCAGGTCATCGTAGAAATGCGTCAGTGAAGGATGATCTTCTGGGAGAGTTTTTCGGTAGGTCTCAAGTGCTATTCTATAAAATGAAATAGCTTCTTCGTATTTCCCTTGATCGTGCTTTGCGTGTCCAAGCTGGTGATAGATATATGCTTTATCGCTATCCTCGGATGCCTGTTCTAGTAGTGTTATGTACACTTCTTCGGCCTTGTTGGATTGTCCTATTTTGAACAGCAACTCACCCAGTCGATACCATCCTTCGCCGCCAACTTCTTCGCGTATATAATCGGTCAAATTGCGGAGCTCTTGGTCATCATCTGATGTAAGTTTAAGGTCCACTTCATATAGGGAACTTTTCTCAGCAATCTCCCGAACATCGACAATACGAAAAACTGTGTGCATAGAGAAGAGAATTTCCTCTTCTTCTTCGAAGTAACTCTCTTCTCGAATGGTAGCGAATGGAGTCGATGAAACTGTAGTATCTACGGTCATTTGAAAAAGAATGCCAGCCATATCTTTGTTTGTTGAGGCTTGTTCAGCAAAACCGAGAGATACTTTGCGGTCTGTACTCGTCGATAAAAAATTACTGAAGGATATTAGGCCACCTTGATTATTTGTGAGCTTTTCACAATCAGCTATTGATAATCCTTGACCTCTATATACGGTAAATGACGGCTCCTTATCAATATTGAGCTGTTGCTTATGGAGATCTTCTATTTGTTGGTGAACATCACGTAGGAAGAAGCCCATCCTAATGATGATATCACCATCCAATGTTCTTAATGCTTTATTGAGCATTTTGTATGTGAAACACGGACGAGTATACCACCATATGGCTTTTGATGGCTGATAACTACTTTCGAATTCTTCAATATCTTCTATTTCTTGTTCATCGTCTTGACATTGTTTACGGCAATATTCTGCCAAATCTTTTATGGCTTCTTGGCCATGTTCCATATCAACGAGTATTTCCTTGAATATTTGCGTGTACATAAAGGAAGATTCTAGCTGATTAAGATCTTTGCTAGAACCAACTTCATTTTTACCGATGATACTGACCATCGTCTGATCTTGATCAGATTGTTTGACGGTCAGTTCCAGTGCGTTGCATATGGACTCAATCGACGTAAAAACATCTTCGATCTTTGCCTAGTCTTTTGTCCATGCATTGTCCTGTGGTTCGTTGCCACAGAAAATGTATATGGCATTCAATTTTGACATGTCATGAATATCTGGTACCAGCTGTTGTCCCAATATATTCGAGACAATCACGAATGATGTCTTCTCGTTGTTTTCTTGGAGTTTCTTAATACATTCCTCTGCCGTAGTACATATGTTGACTTTACTGGCAACAGCTTCGAGTTGCTGCAAACTTTTCTGGTAATCTTCGTTGGTCGTATTGATGTTGGCGTCGACCCAGATCACCAAATTGTTTTTGGTCATACGTCGTCTTCGTTGTGGATTCATTTGGACCGTTGTATTGGTTTTTTGATGCTTATTTGTGAATGATATGATAGTAAATTGCTGTATGCTGAAACTTTACTTGCTTTATTTATATGTTCGATGCTGTGTTTTTTTCTTGTTGTTTTTCTACGTAGTCTAATGTGGGTTTTTTCCTGTGATATTCAATGACAAACTATACTTCATGTCAATTGAAGATACGCTTGTCAAAAAGGTAATTAAATATCGGAAAAAATCAACGACGTCATTTACTTTATGATTCATTTTTCTTCAATTTTCGTTTGTCATTCATGCGTGCAATAACTTGAATCTCACTGCATATTAGATATGTTGTCTCGCACTCTGTATATTCTTTTTCTCTCCCTATTAAGAGTGAAGAAAATAACAAGAACAACATTAATTTGATTTTTTTCCTGATAATTATGTATTTGATTGTCACGTTGCTAATGTGAATAAAATAGGAAGAACCATAATTTTAATTTTAATTGGGACAAATCATTGAAAAATGATTTCTTTTTCTGTCGAAAATACTGTTGATCATTAACCAGTGACGTGAACAAAAATAATTGCTCCTATTCATCAAATGGAAAATAAGTGAAACACTTCAATGAGCACTTTACTATTACGTAGTAAAAAAATTAGTTGATAAATTCGACATTTTATTAGTTATTGTCCAGTTTTTTTCAGAAAAATAATTGAATACAAAATTGATATCTATCGTAAACAAAGATTTTATTACATTAGTAACGGTTTCTTAGATTTAAATTCTCTAACAGGACGTTTGTTTTTTCTAGCAACTAAACTTCACTGTCCCTCCAATTTATGTTTACATAAAAATACTTTTGAAAATTTTCGTTATTTATATAATACCATGATTTATTGTTCGATACTCAATTAGTTGGAAACTCTGACAAGAAAGAAGAATTTTCATATACAATTTTTTCATTTTATTCTATTTTATTTTATTTTGAGACATTTAGTTAATTATGTGCACATCAATTGTGAATTTTTTCTATTGCATTCTCACACATTATATGCTAATGTCCTCTTTTCGTTGTTCGATATATTTTCTTGCTGTGATAGGTTTCTTGCTTTTCTCTTGATCGCTTCCTCGTCTATTATTTCATGTGTTCATCTTCATTGAATAAATTGAACGTACATTCATTAAAAAAAACACTCAAGAAATTACAATATTCATCTGAATAACGGGGAATCACACATATCTATTCTTTTATAAAAAGAAAAAGATCAAAATGATGCAATTACTGATAAAGTAGTATCTATTCAATGAACAAACTTAACTGTTGTTGGATGCAAAATTTTGTGTTGATAGTTAGATTTGCTTACTTATAAAATTTATATATGAATACACATCTAATTCTATCTAGAAAATTACACAAATTTTAAATTCGATTTAATATGCAGAATAATATTAGACTACATTTTCACCTATATTTCGATAGAATAATCATTACTTAAATTAAACTTGAATTAAAAGAAATTTAGCTTCTTTTTGGCTTTTACGACCAAAAGTAAATACGAAAATTTCACTTATATTCGAATTCATGTCAGAGAAGTATTACTAAATTCATAATTTTTTTTTCCATTGAGATTATACCAAATATGTATAATGATAAAATTGTTTTCTTACAGTATATTAACTAGTATTCCTTCATTAATTTCTAGGATCCATAAATTAAGTTGATATTTAAAAAATGTTTGCATGAATGCAAGATTAACACAGTTTCAAAGTACGTCACAGTGATAGAGGGCAAATATGTAAATTCGCTTACAAATGACAAATAATGAAAAGATATGCTAGAATTTCTGAAAAAAAATCGGTAGAGATATATGGAAAGTATGACTTTCTTTTAACTCTAAAGTAATCAAAAACGTACAAAGTACTTTCTATTATGTACTGTCATCGATCTTTTTTCTTTTGCTCGTGACTGTGCACTGAGGTGAAACGTGACGATAAAATATGTAAATAAAGAACTACTGAATAAGCGCAGTATTTTCTTTTCTTTCTTGCTGTCTTCCTAGGTGATGATATATAATGAAGAGCTTCTGAGTAGTGTTTTTCTAAATTTCTCTATTATGTTGACACGTTTGAATAAATAAAAATCTATTGAAAGTGATCGAAAACTGTTTATTAAATCTAATTTCGTTCCATTTCTTTCCCACAGTCATTGATTCACGAGCATCGAAAGTCACGAGAATCTTTAAACTAAGTATGACTAAAATCATATCAAAGAGATAATCAAAATCAAACGAATTTGCAAGAGCGAGAATCAGCCGTAGGCATTTTACACTCATTTTGTTTGACAAGATCATTAAAAAATTTTTCTTGGTGTAAATTAACTTTATTCTACAATATTTTTAGCTTTAAAACGTTTACACTGAACTATTGAAGAGCGTATTAGTGTAGAATAGACTGTTAAACAATGGGACAGCGGTATTTGAATTGATATTTGTATCTACTTGATAAAATCGAGTATTATACAAAAACCAACAAAAAAAGAATGATGAATGCCAGAATGTTCATCTATTTCAATAAAAAGAAAAAAACCGATACAATGTCAAATTGAGATTTTGTGGCTAAAATATTCGTCACAATTGATCATGGTTACAAATACAGAGCATCCACATATGAAATATATTGCTTTCTTCAAAGAAAATAAATCAAAATACTAAAAGATGCTATGACTTAACATTTAGATAGGTACAGAAAAGATAC